AGATAGATAGATAGATAGATAGATAGATAGATAGATAGATAGATAGATAAAGACTATCTATGATCTATGCCAAGAATTGGAGATGAAAGTTTGTCCCTATTAGTTTTATTGGCCTTTTCAGAAGCTTCTGAACCCATCAACTATTAAATTTTATTGACTCATATGGTTGATCTTACCAGTGTGATGTAGTGGTTAGGTATTGGACTAGGACTTAGGAAATACAAGCCCACCCTCAGCCATGAAAGCTCATTCACAGGGTTATAGTTATGGAAAAAATTGGAGGAGGGAGAACTACGTAAGCCACTTTGAGCTCCAAAGTAAAGGTGGGATATAAAACTAAAAAATACATACATACACTCATTTCTAATTGCTATGTTTAAACAAAACCAAAAGACTGATTGTAACCTATATAATACATACAATTTAGGATTATAATTACAACACAAGCCATAAAGTCAGTTTTAGCTAAAGGTTATATATATACCTTAATATATATATTTAGAATATATATATTCCTGGATCAGGATTGGGAGGCCCTTCAGACAATCACTCATGCCCTAGTCACCTCAGGGCTTGATTATTGCAATGTACTCTACCTGGGGCTGCCCTTGAAAACTGCTTAGAAGTTTCAACTGGTCCAAAGTGCAGCAGCACTGGCAGTGATGGTCATTCCTCAGCATGCTCATGTGACACCTCTGCTTTGCAAGCTGCACTGGGTGCCAGTCTGCTTCTGGGTGCAATTCAAGGTGCTGCTTTTAAAGCTGTATATGGCATAGGGCCAGGTTACTTGAGGGACCACCTATCTCCCATGATTTCTGCCTGGCCAATATATGCCAGCAGAGTTGGCGTGCTGCAGGTCCCTTCAAATAAACAATGTCACCTATCAGGACCCACAAAGTGTGATTTCCTTCTCGTAGCACCTGTCCTTTGGAATGAGACCCTCCTCCCACTGGTTGGCGTTCCATAAAGCCTTGAACACCTAACTGTTCTCCCAGGTCTTGAGGTGAGATAGATGGTGACCCTTAGGTGTGTTTGTTATCTTTGTTCTCTGTTTGTATATTGTGCTTGGTTGCTATTGGCTTTTACATTACTATTTATGAACCACTCAGAGTCAGTTGGAGTTGAATGGTGTCCAAGCTGAACTAAATAAATAATAAATAGGGTTCCCAAATACACTCATATATATGTACATGCATAGTTCCATGTTGAAATACTGAAGAATTATATCAGTACAGTACTCAGGAAGATCTTGCTATAAACATAAAACAAGCCTTTTGACATCCAAATAGCAACTGCCATAACTAGTTATTCATAACCATGACATTAAACTTACCTTCTCAGTTCAAATATACTTGAATTGCCTTATACTATGGGCAGCATTCCATGTTGGCATTGCTTGATGCAAACTGCTTTACACACGTTCGATATCAGACAAGTCATGGCTGCCATTTTTATCAACCCCCTCCCCCCATTTTCAGGCATCCCTAAGTCATATTCCATTCTATTCAGTAAGGTTCCCGAACTCTCAGGGGATGCCCAAATTTACATGGACCTTATATAAACTTACATTTTATGCTACGGCAGAGCCTTGACTGGTTCAACCTATGTTAAAAACAACAAGAAAATGGTAACATGGATATCATCAACTGTAGGGCTTGCTGTATATCCAATGGGGCTCTGTGGGCTGCTGTTTGAGAAATATGCCTGAATGAAACCCTGCAGAAAGTACATGTTCTGGCATTATCCTGAAGAAAGGAAAACGTTGACTTTAAGAAATGCTCAAAAATCAAACTGTTCCATAGTTCTTGCCATTACAGAAAGAGATATAACATTTAGGTGTTATATCTATATCAGTGTGTGTGTGTGTGTGTGTGTGTGTGTGTGTGCGTGCACACGCATGTGTGGAGAGAGAGAGAGAATGTATAACTGTGTGTGTGTGTTAATAAT